ACTTGTACAAAAGTCCTTTTTCAGGAAAAAGATCGCTCGTAATTATCTATTGATAAGCGTTTGATTGACAAAGGAGAAGGGTGTAATTATATAAATAACATTAACTTTATGATAGAGAAATATCTCAGGATATGCCACCTCGTGAAAAAAAAAAGCAATTCAATATTTGATACAAGTTCTAGAAAAGTTATGTTGAGGTATTTCGTATCGAAATTGTATCCAAAATGTCTAAAATGATGAGACAAATGTTCTGCGTTGTATAGCATTCTTCGATTACTCAGCAAAACATTATCTTCTATTAAATTGAATACCTTTAAAAACTGTGTCTACTTTTTAACCTTTGTTTTGATAGTGGTCTCTTCAACTGAAGTGTTAAAGGCTCTCATTGATACAGATTACCAAAATATGAAAGAAACAACTTTTTAACGTGTAGTAGGGTGCAAATACTACTTTAATTGTACATAGCTATTTAGGTTGAACTTTTGTCTATCCTTGTACATGTACAATAAACATTTATTTCTAAGAGAACAAAATTTTAACACACAAACTTTAAAACACATAAATCTGAGGATATGCCCTTAACACCGATACCCTGTTTATACACACGTGGCTCGTAACTATCTACACATAAATCTTTCGATCAGACCACAATAATATCGCCTTAACGGTATTGTCAAAAGGTAAAAGTAAATAGCCTTTTTTCATCGGGCGTTTAAGTTCATGACTTATTTGTAATGACTTTGTTTTCGACTAAGCGCCAACTGGTATGTTATGATAGAGTTATAACAGACACATGTTCTACATGCCAGTGAAACTAAAGCCAGTCTCACACAAAATACGGTTGGGCACACGGTTCCCATACGGTATACTCGGTTATACACGGGTTGACTGGTACGAGTATTGAGCGCCAACCGTGCCTGGAGATTAGTTGATACGAATTAGACGCGAATGTAGCAGAAGCATGTACGCATTGAGCACGGATATACCCGGTCAAACAAGGTTTGCATACGAATACATACGACAGTTGTACGGTTCAAAGAACGGTCTAGTACGGTCTGGTACGATTAAACACGACTTTTACTCGATTTACTCGGCTGTCACTAGTTTGCATAGGGTCCTCCGACTTTTGTTCGAGTTATGCTCGGATTATCACACATTTGTGTTTGTTTTGATATAAATTAACCAATTTTGATGACTTGGCTTCATAAATTTTCGAATTTTCAACGAAGAACCCCTATATATACACCATTAACATCAATAAATGAATGAAAAGGTGAAGCAATGTAAAATGCGTCTATATTTCTTGGGTGCGATGGAGGGTCCGTCGAGCTGGCATTGGAGTCTGAAAACCCTGGGAGACAAGGGTATTGCCGGTTGGTCCTCCAGCTCATCAGGGTCAATGAGTTGGAAGGGTCGGTGGGCCTGAATGACCCTTCTTGTATTCCTTCTGTGCGTCCAAACCTTCTTCTGTGGATACTTTCTAGTGTGATGCAGCATGTACTCTTGGTAGGATGGCAGCAGGTAGTTATGTTTTTTTTGTACCGTTCTTGCTGACGTAGAGGCCGTGCAAGACCGTACGATGCAGTGTGAGACCGTGTGTACCCGTACTATACAGTGTCGGCCATGTATATTTCGTACATGAACCGTATTGGTCGTAAGGCGATCGTATGAAACCGTGTGTGCACTCGTTTGAATCGTACAGTGATCTTGTGACATTCGGGTGTTAATCGGGTGTTGGATGTAGGACTTGGGGACGGTCTCGAACGATTCCATACGATTTATATACGACCTTGACGCGGTTGGGCTCTCTCGTGGAGTGGACTTCACATACGGCTGTATATACGGTCTCATACGGTCTCACACGGTCTCTTACGGTCTTGTACGGTCGCATATACGGTCATACACGGACATGTTTTAAACGTTTTAAAAATCATACACGGCTTACACGGATACAGTCGAATGCCCCGAGTGTTACTCGGATAACGCTACGGTACATTTGCAAGAAAAAGTAGGTGTCACACAAAACATTTAGGTATTGGTGCTGTACTGGTGATTTCTAACTTCTAGTGCCTGTTGAAGTCTTATGTGTTGTGTATTTCTAAATTATACCACCTGTTGAAACCGTGTTGTATTTCTTTATATTACCACCCAATAGAGACCCGTGGAGCAAACAATAAAAGAATGCATTGTTAATCAAAGCTGTGCGAACAATTCCATGTTGTCACATTCCAAATCTAAAATAATCTGATTACAGAATGTGATTTATTCAATACTTCTTTTCTATCAAATGTTAAACGTTGTTTCATGCTTCATGAATCGATTGACAATGTCGTATGTAAACAACGGTTGAAAATCAAAACGGAATCTCAGAAAACAAATCATTCATATATACATAGGTTAAAATCTAGCACAGGGTATAATGCTAATCGCTGCTTATTAATGGTCTTACAATATATGACTACATGGCCTGTAACAACCTTATATTGAATAATTTATGACTTTAAGGTCAATAAAGTATATTTTATGTTTTAAAGCAACTTCATTTCCGTGTTTAAATTTATTTATTTTTTAAATTCCATTTAAAGGAAACGGTTACGATCACTTTCAAAATAGTACAATTCGAGAAAATGGTATCCCAATGGAATTATACTATTATCTTGTATACGGGAATAATGTTTTCTGTTTTCCGAGGCACCGTCAACCTATTATTTTTGACAGAAAACCTAATTTGTTCAATATAAAAACACATTTCACACTAAATTTCAAGCGTAATAAATTCAAACTTTTATTACAAGTTTGTTAACGTTTAAAGCATGTCGAACTAACTGCCTTGTTACTTCTTTTATCATCATCATCATCATCATCATCATCATCATAATCATCATCATCATCATCATAACTGTAATCATCACCATCATCAATTATTATCGTAAGTTTTATGATTATTGTTAAAACTTTAAATAATTGTTATTCAAATTGGATTATTAAAAGACTTGTACCTTTAAACCACTTTTACTATCCGAAATAACAAGTATTGGTGTCCTGTGAGGATAATTTGTCGTACATTTCAACCTCCCTACAACGACCAGCATATTTAGTAAGTGCTGTTGTCAGATCGGGCCAAACTTACATTCCCTTTGTTGGGAGGCAGACACCTGAAATGCATTGCCCTGCATACGACAAGCGTTGCTGCTGAAAGGTGTCCGATATATACTTCCAAACATTTTAAAAGGAACAAGCAGCAACCTTCCCCCCCCCTCCTCCCCGAGAAAAGCCAACGGCCTTCCATTTGTTGCTTGTTTGATAGCTTGAGAAACCAAATTCTCTGCCAGGATTGAGTTAGAACCTACAGTGGTGCTTGGCGAGTGGCAAATGTTTCGTTGCCGATAATGACCAATAGATAACGGTGCCCAATGAAACTTAATTCTTCTTAAAGGGTCATACTAAGCTTCTAAATAGTTTTTACTTTTTAAAAGCTAATTATTTAAGTGTCTTATTGCTGTATCAATAAAAAGTTACTCATTTGCCATATAGCGAAGCTATCCTTTTTCGCTTTTTAGCAATTAGTACATAAAGAGTTATTTCATATTTTGTATTTAAGTCAAAATACACTGACATTTTTCTGCTTTATGACTAATTTTTAATGTTCAGTGTCATTTTCATCATGTGATAAGCAGATCATATATGCCCGTGTTTGCCCTTCTACAGAAAGAAAAGATTAATATTTTCTTCGCCATAATGTGTCTTTCAACATTTATATCTTTTGATAACAAACATAATGTTATTTTTGACATACAGTACTTGTGATGGCGCAATGCATTAAGATTAAACAGTATACTTATGTCTGGCTTTTTGAACAATGCTCTGACTTTGGAATTAATGTTACTGTAACAGTCTATGAGCCGGCTTATTTTTCTCTAGAGTGACATTAATTGGCACGAAACGTAAACCGCTTCTCAATGTATGCTTAGACTAACAATTTACTCAGTTCTTGTGAGAGACACCGTCCTTATTCTTTACTGAGAAACTGTTAGGAATTTTCGCAGACACTATATTTCGTTTGAAATAGGAAACTTTTACAAAAAATCACGCTTGTGGCACACTTCATATGTGCATTGCGAACAACACAATCTTTACATTTGGTCGGGATCGCATTTGTCACCTCTATTTTTCGTATATTTCAGCACAAATGTCCGTACAGGAAAACATATCAATATATTCGAGTGATTCTTATACTGGCGATATTCTTGCCTTTTGTACAAACTGTCCAGTCAGCTCAACTGGTGGTGAGTTGGCCTGGGAATCGATCGACCCGGGTCTTAATTTGCCGAGAGTGCAGTATACTGACGATTTGACTGATCATGGAATCATTTATACGGTCTTTAACATTGTACCACAGCTCATATACAACAGTGGAAGCACTGGTACTGATAAACATTCAAGACAAAGAGCCTCCTCAACAGCGCTGTGCTCTGTGGATTATGCCGTGATCTGGGAGTAACAAAAGCGCTTACTAAACTTTTAAAACAGCTCGTGTGTCGTTTCACATTGTCGAGCGTCGTATAACATTCTCACGATCTCACTTCGCATTGTCATGCGCCGACTCTCAAGAGAAGGATGATATTATTTATAAATGGCATGAAAAGGACACCGTAGTTTTGGATATTCCTGTTTATACTTATTCTTACTACACTATAAAATAAGTAGCTGGAACAACCACTGTAGCAATGAAAACAGGAAACTTTTTCCTGTCACGTGTTATCTTTTTCCCGAAAAGTGGTATTAGGATATTTACATTGTCGTCTGTTTGTCTGTCAAATTAAACACAAATGGATTCTTCTTTGGAACAAAGTCAAACACATTAGCGTTTTTGTCATACGCGTGTAAACTGTTACCCTCTTCATACGACCTCTTATACAGCATGGCGGTCCCAATCATTATTTAGGTGTAAGAACGCTAAATAAAATTTAAAAAAACATGAAAAAGAAAAAAAAAACCAGTCACGTGGTTAATCTTTTTAATATTTTATTTCATGTCATTATCATGTATAATAGAAAAAAATAAAACAATCAATTTAACTAGCAACTTGAAATAATATAAAGCTGTTAACGGAAGCATCAAAAAAAGGAAAGAAGACAAGTTCTTTTTTTTTTCAAGTTCTTCACTAGTTAAATAACTGTGTGCAATAATATAAAACATACCATAAGAATCAGTAACCTGTACAATATAATTACACTGAAAAGTTCTGTGTTACTGATATAGTTAAATAGATGCATGTTGTTTTAAACAGGGCTAGAATGTAGGTGGTTGGAAAATTAGGTAATAAGGATGGCATTTAAACTACAATTATTAAACAAACGTTCACTCAAGTTTTACTTACTTCTTATATACATGTTCAGACAGTGCCAACATAAATCAGTTTGCCTGTATTTACATACTATCAAAATAAGATGTTAACTTACTTCTGACTAGTATTCGACTGTTTACAGGTAACTTGAATGAAATGAATCAAAATGATAAACAATAATTGATATTTGAGATTCTAACAAAAGCACATATAGTTAACTCCATGTATAACGATATTCAAGGGAACGCCGGATTTATATCGTTATATCCGAGAGGCAGCAAATTTGAAATCTGGCAACAGCATCGATATAAGCGGTATATCGTTATAAGCGGTATATCGTTATAAACGGTATGTCGTTATAAGCGGTACATCGTTATATGTGGTATCGTTATAAGTGGAATTTACTGAATATTTCTATATCTAAGATTTTATCTTAACATGTTTTTTATACATATCTATACCATAATGATATTTAACAAATAATGAGGAATGGAATTAAATAAAAGTAACTTACATGTTTCAAATAATTGCATAACTACAACTTCAGTGTCCCTATATAACCTTACAAATAACAGTTTCAACTAACAGTTCACAATATTTGTAAAAAATTATTGTCTCACGCTCTAAAAATGGAACAAAAATCAATGAAAACAAAAATTATTTATTTGTGATCAATTAATATACATGCATGAATAAATATTCTTTTTTTCACTCATGTTGTTACTAAATTCAATGAACGCCTATTACTAGTAATCAAATGTGTGTTTTTACATCAAACGGCCGCCACACAGGTTAAGTATTTAAAAGTGATCTACGAAATTAAGTTTAAATAGATTACTGATTATTCTACTTAAACCTAAAATATAAATAATCGATAATTAAAAAAAAATATTAAAAGAAAATGAAGCTTTTTCATATTTATTTTCATTATGTTCCCATTATATGTCGCGACACTCCTTGCAATTTTTACATAAACAGAGAGTTTAACCTTCATTTTATATAAACACAACAAAATACATAACAACGACAAAATAGAGAGAGAAAACGGCAAAATTGAAAATGTTGCTTGAGCCAACTCAAAACAGTAAAATAACAAAGGATCTCAAAAGGGTACATTTTCTTTTACTTCTTACTTACATGCATAACAATAAAAAGCCGTGGCGTTTACAAACGTATGTCAACTAAACTTATACATAAAAGAAATGGTATCTTTAGGACAATAAAATAGAATAATAACAATCAAACTCAACAAAATCAGCACATTTGTACATATAAATACTACAACAATCGATTCAAACAGTGCATATAACAGTGAAAAAACCGGGAAGACCTGAGCTTTATAGTTCTCTATACAACCTGTCAACTTGTTGATAGTCATAATATGGTTTCGACCCTTTAACCATAAACATAATGTTGTTTGCATTCATTAATTTGGCGTAAATGACACACTATTTCTACTGTATAATGCCAGCGTAAAATGTACTGCGTCATAAAATCACCTTTTTATCAGTGTATGATCAGACGCGTTTAAATGCAACCATATTGATGTATCAAACACTGTGAAAAAGGGTACTGACTTGTTTTAGTCAAAGCCATTTGATAGGACTATTCTTTCTGAATTGCAACGAATTTAATAAACATAATTGATTGAAAAATACAGACCGTATATCGATTGCACATTTTATATTTGTTACTCGCATATTTAAAATGTGTCTAAATTTTAGACCTCAAACTCTTTTAAAATACGTCATAAACAGTTCCAATCGTGACGTTAGATTTGAATTAAAAATGTGTATGTATAATGAAGGCACTTTTATGCATAAAATGATTACAAAATACTTTTAAAGCTCTGTTTAAAATGTAAACGATATCACAGACTGTTGATGACTATTTGTTAACTATTGGCTAATTGCCGTCTGCTACCGTCTTACCCCTGCACATACAAATGGTAAAAAACACACGATTGGTGATGACGTCATGTCTTCTGATGATTGTTTATTTGCGTCACAGCCGCTCATATCAGCACCTGCGCGCTGTAAAGTTTTAAGTGCGAGCGTGTTATTTGCGCGTGATGCATAAATCACAGGAGTTCTATTTACATCGTCTTTAAGATCGAGTTCAGCTCCATTTGACACTAAGATATTGATAATGCTAACATCACCACGATGTGCGGCTAAATGTAATGCTGAACAACCCCCGGGCAGTCCATCCGGGGACCCCATGGTAGCGTTCACATCCACTTTAGCTTTAAGACACAGTTTTACCATTTTTCGCGCACCTCGTAACACAAACGCGTGAAATGGCGTCCATCCATCCACTTCTTGCATGAAAACGTCACGTGCATAATCCTTATTTTGTTTGACAAGCTGTTTCCCGGCATCATTCAAACTATCCTCATTTCTACGCAAAAGCGCAAGAAGGGTACAAGCGTCCTGGTGTATATCATCCTTGTTCATCGGTTCACACTTCACCATGGAGACGGCACCGTCGGTCGTCGTTCGAAAGTATGGAATAAATCTAAAAATAGACAGAAAACATCTCCAGGTTATCATTAATGTTAATATATCGACGTAATGCTGGTTGACAAGAACAATTCATTTGGTATAATAAGTACATTTTAAATAAGGTAAAAACCTCGAAAAACCCGACATAACAATGTACATTAGGCTATGTTTACAGAGTACAGTAAATTTGGAGAAAATATTTGAGACAGTATTTGTTTATTATTATTATTATTATTAATTATTATTATTATTAATTATTAGTATTATTATTACAGGCACAATGGCGTCAAAAATACATTTTTACCTTCTTAAAATATAGGATAAAAAAATAAATAATACAATTTAGTCAATGAAATAGGTGAATATCAAGTGACATCAAGTTGACAGATCACTCGAGTGAAGTTAGTTCAAATAGAGTAAGCATTTCAGCATAAGTGCATGTACATGTTCTTTTTATATAACACATTTTACAATCCAATAGTTTTAATAAAATGACTACTATTATTATTTATACACAAATTACAATTTAAAATGGAAACAATTTGTATGTATATATGCATACATATTTTAAAGCGTACATTTAAAATGTAGGTTAATATGTTATATACAGAGATCGATTTTCATCTCAATATATCAAAATACACCGGAGATAAACGAATAGTTCGATTGATATAAAAGAACGCAATTATATATCAACAATTAAATAAATTATTAGAGTGATCAGGTACGCGGTAAATAATACTAGACGCTATGCTATCATATTCTAAACCATAATCGAGAAAAAGAATAAAATTGTTGTTTTAATTTACAAAATACATTCAAAATAAAACTCTTATCATTTCAAACAGCAAAGGAATTCTACGTAGCTTTTAATTAAAAGATAAACTACTTTTGTTCGCAATTCGCAAGAGTTTTACCTTTTAATCAACAAGTATGGTCCCCTATGCATATCCAGAAATAAATCCACCCCCTATGCATGCACGCTTAATGGCTAATAAATACAGAAAATTTAACTGCTAGTAAATCCAATCTGTATAAATATAAAATCCCCAAGCATTGCGGTAGTACAACGTCACCACCGAAATGAAAATAAACCTATTCTCAATGACTTATTATGCACAATGGATTATTTTTTTCAGTTTATATCGTCGTTAAGTAAAGCTTTACTAGTCCAATATTAATACCTTTAAATACGTGTCTTTATTGAACTAGTGTTATGTCCCAATTATTAACACTGCCACTCTGAATGCTTGAACGAAATCTATAGGCCGTATCGATATTCCGCTGAAGATCGATTTGTACATAAATATTTCTTAATTGATATGGCCGCAAGTAGAAAAACACTGGTATTTTAAGGCTCTCCTTTATAATGTCAGTAATTATTTTGAAAACGTTAACAGACGCGTAACTATAGACGCTAAAGGGTCAACATATAGCACAACCAATTAAACATTGCAAAATCTTTATTACGCATCTTTTACATGTGACTCTACAGGTTGGTGTTTATTTTAAACAAATAATCAGATGTTCGTTGCCCTGGAAACTTAATTGTCGTTATAATGCCTGATTCAATTTACAAATACAAATATTGATGTTGCATACTTAAACCAGGAATTTATATTAAAGTTTTTTGTTGGTAGTTTGAAACCCCGGGTCTTCGCACTAAACCACATTAAATTTAAGGTTAAAATTTAAGGTTAACATTGATTTTATAAAATAGTTTATTTGCAGAACTATACTTAAGAATATTTAATAAAATACATTACGCAATATTTACATAACTTGATGGTATTCACTATGAAATTAAAATAAGACCCAAATTGAATCATTCTGAAAAAAATACCCACAGAGGTTGTAGTTGTTTAAATATGATGATATTGTTCTTTTTTATGAAAACGTTATCTACAAAAGGGTTCTCCTTATATATAAAAAACAGTGTGTTTGCTTTTCCCGGATTTGCAGATTTAGAGCGTAATCTCTTATTAAACATACACATTATTCCGTAGTAAATAAATTAAAACAGTTAAGATTAGATAGGAAACTCTACATAATAATGCAAGCTGAATTGACAGGACAACACATAAAAACTGTTGGTTAGTCATTCCGATTAGATGGATTAGATCAAATTCTGTATTAAATTATATCTAATTATTGATAAAAAAATTCTTACAGTATCGCTTTTTGCTACATGCAAGACGCGTATGCGCGAAAAGCTACTTCCCTTTCTAAGGAAATATCGCAATGTAAAAAATGTCTGTTCTTATGACCAAAATTGCAATTTTAGAATCGGCAAAGAACTTCATCACACGATGATATAGTGTTTTATAACTTACAACGTTCTACTTTTATGAATTTGGTTTAATGCCGCATCAACACAGTGTCGGTCATAATTTACGGCGATTTACCAGCTTTACTAGTGGGTACTACCCTGTACAATATTTCAGGCACAAACGAGCACCCGGGTTAAACCACCGATGTTCCGTAAGCTAACTGGATAGCTTTCTCACATAAAGAATCCGAAAACACTGGCGCGGCTCGTCCCTACCGCTGTGCGAAGCGAGTGATTTGAAGTCAAATACCTTATCCACTCAGCCACAGACGCCCCTAATGGGTTCAATATATTTAAAGGCTATTATTTAAAATACAGCTTATATTTCTAAAAACAAAATCCATATGCACAATTTTTCATAGGAGATTACTACGTCATTTAGTTGATGTTGGTATAATAAAATTCCTATGGAACTCTACTTAGAATTAAGATAAAATTATAACATGGACATAAAGAATGTGGAAACGACATGTTCCTTTGATGTGTACATATTGCCAGTTTTTCATAATTGCATTAGTCAAGAAATGTACTAGAACAACTTGAGGAAAGAAAAAAACATAGAACAAGAAAGGAAAATGAAAAAAGAAAAGAAGAAAGTAAAGAAAGAAAGAAAAAGAAATTTTATGAAGCAAGAAAAAAAAATAACTACGAGAAAAAGATATAAAGAGGTGAAATATAAGAAATAAAAGAAAAGGTACAAGAAAAAAAGGAGAAAATTAAATTATTAACAAACTCGGAGACGCACGCGCAGCATATATGTATAATAAGCATATTTGAAAATATTACTTAATTGTTAAAATATATTATGTATTGAAATTACAGATAAGTGGACAATACATGTATATAACCTTTTATAAGTAGACAATACATATTCTTTTATAAGTAGACAATATATAATATTTTATAAGAACATATTCAAATCCAGATTAAATATGTCTACGCATTAGTGCAATACTATACTTATCTAAATCGCTGTCACAGTTTTTCACCCCAGTTATTTGTGTCGTAAATCGGATTTGTTAATTAATATGTATTTAATACAGTCATACAACAAAATAAATCGTTTATAATGATGCACTCACCGAGAAAGAAAATCATCGATTAGACTAAGTGTTAAATTTATTCACGTTGCATGCATGCATGTTTAAATTGCATTATTAACATGAAATGGGGGAAAAATCAACAGAAATGATGTAATGTTTGATTTTGAAACTTATTTCTTTGGTTGTCCTTTTTTTAAAAATGGAACCTTTTCCGATTTCATGCTCCGATTTCATGGTCTACTTTATTCAGTTTCTTTATCATTTATTATTTAATTTGATTATTTTATTCACAATTAAAAAGTAAGATATGCTATTTATTTAACACTTGTAAACGCGTTCATAGTCCTATATCAAAACGTTACACCTCTTACATGCTTGATTATTATTTTTCTCCTTCAATCTCAATATCATTATTATAATAATTACCATTATTTAATAAAAATATTATTAATTTCTAATTATCGTTATTGCTGGCTGATTTGTAAATAATGCAATAATTTCTATAAGATGTATTTGAATTTGCAAAGGAGGAACTGGAGGAATGAATGTCTATGACAAAAATGTAAAGAACTGTATTAAATATAATCATTTAAACTAAGGTCACACTCACCTGAAGTTTACCATTAAAACATGTATTAGCCGCCGCTTAAATATTTCCTTAATTTAACTGCAAGTTTTATAGATAATAAATGCAAGTTCTTATCCTTTAAAATCCTTTATTTTAAAGCAACAGCACTCGCCACTTGATTTTTTTCCAATTTTAAATTGTAAACTAAAGTTGATCTACTCAGTTATGCGTTTACGTACTAAAATCTTGTTTAACAGTATTCCCTGGTCGTTACTCAAGTTCAATCATTTACTCTATTGACCAAATTTCTTCCTACTACATTTATATACGGTTAAGTTGGTTTACCTAGGGACTTTTTTTTTATAAAGTCAATTCAAATATTGCGAAATATTGCAATACAGTAGGGAAAGCTATGCTACGATACACCTGGTCACGTGGTACCTATGTTAATAAAAGTGTATTTTGCAAGTAAAGTATTGTATTTACACACGTCCGTACTATAAATGTAAACACTGATGTACTTAAGAATATATGATGAAAATAACTTCTGCTAAAGGATAATTGTGCTATAAATAGTTTGTAACAACAACCGGGTATAATAATCGATATAAAAAAGTTATAATGTTAGAAAAACGTACACATTTATTGCACACATCCGTATTTGGGTGTGCATTTTTTTCACTGAATAACTTTTTCTGTCTTTTTCACCGTGGTAACAGGCACCTAATAATCTATATATATAACGTGCACAGGTCTTTAATGGAATATGAGTAATAGAGATTCTTGATCCGATATTACATTCATTTAGAATATAGTAAAATTTTCTAGAACAAAATATTGTTAGGATTCTTATAATTTTCCCTTTTCAATCACTTATACATTAATCAGCAATTTATTTGAAGCAAAATTTTATAAGGATATCACAATAATACCTATCTATTGTTTTTTTTCTATCAATCCAATCTCGGAAATTGTGTTCACTATTGACCAAACCATTTTAAGGTGTGGGCGGTTTAGGTAAGACCGATTTATTAGCATGCTCGGTTATGTAATAACCATTATGTCATAACCATCGCATGTCATCTAATCACAACACTAGAAGAAAGCTTCTCTTTCTGAAAACGACTTTAAAAAGAAACGGAAATGTTAACTATTAAATAAGAAACCCCTTCTTCTTGCAATGTACTGTACTTGATATATTGTGGGTTTTTTACCTATCTCTATGGCAATAATCTAGCAAATATCGGGCTCTGGGGGCTTTGAAATGAAATAATTATGATTGAAATGCTTTGTCTTATAACGTCTTAATGTCTTCAATAAGAAATTAATTTCGAATATCACTGAAAACTTACACCACGAGGTCAACAAATAAAAAAAAAAATATCATCATTTATATTGATGTGCAAAACGAACAACTGCGTTATCATTTTCAGATTGCTTTATCTTTTTCATAAAGTTTCCTTCTTCAAAATCAAATGTGATAAAAATCTGCAATCAAAATTGTTTAAATATAAGTTTCTTTATTGTGGCTTGTTAATTTCAGCCAATTTCTACCTCGCCTGCTCGCCCGCTGAAAGGCAACTTTAATGAACAACCGCGCTATCATTTTCAAAACCAAGTTATGATTTGTATATGTTTCCTTTCCAAAATCAAATGCGATAAAAAGCTGCAATCGAAATTGTTATTAAAACAGAAGTTCCCGCTGGCTTGTTAATATATGTCAATTTCTGCCTCATCTACTCGCACGATAAATGATATTACGTTATCAATTTAATACAGTTTCCTTTTTCAAAATCAAATGTGATAAAAAAATTAACTGCCATCAAAATTGTTTAAATATAAGTTCCTTGTGGCTTGTTAATATCAGTCAATTTCTACCTCGTCTGCCCTCCCACTGAAAAGCAATGTGATTTTATTCAGCTTTAGCCTGCATGCGGCAACCCATTCCACCCAGCGACCAGTGCAGACCAAGATCATCTTTTTTTGTGCCGTGTGATTTTGTTCTGTATTGTTTGCTAATCAGTTTGAACATATTTTGAAACTGGACGGTTTTGTCAAATTAAAAGATGGGCAAGACAATGCGTGGCAAGAATGAAATAAAATTTATCTCCCTTTTCAACGTGTATGAACTAAGTGTAAAATGAGTAATGCATGATACATTTAATATTCACGTGGTACCGGTTTATTTCGTCTGTTGACACGACAAACCGAGTTCACTACTCAATAACTTTCCATGTCAAACGTCACGAGGGTCTCGGTAAAGATGTCGAAATAAATCCGCTATCATTTACGATAAAGCAAACATTTCCTGTGAAACATACCTATGTGGGTTCCTTGAAACCAGGAAGTTAACTAGATGAAATTTAGTTTAAAGCGGGCAGAATAACTGACAAAAAAGGTTATGTCATTGCATCCTTAACAATAAAAAAGTTAATAATTAACGGCTTGAAAAGTGTGTCATTAATAAAACCGTACACATTAAACTAAATCAAACTAAATAAAAACCTTGGCTCATTTCTAAAAATTGCATCGCTCTAAAAACTTAATCCGTCGTTCTATTTTGCTTCGAATTAAAGAATTGAAGTCTGGACTGATGTGTTTAAGGTAATAATAGCTGACT